ATCTGTTAACAGGACGACCACCTTATGAAGAGTTGCCTGAAAATGTGTCAGAGTTTGTGAAAGTGTTATGTGAAAGGATGGATGATATTCACCATCAAGTACGTTCAAACTTGAAAACGTCTGCTGATTCGATGAAGTTAACTTATGATAAGAGATCTACTGAAGTCAGCTTTGTACCAGGAGACAAGGTGTAGTTGTATAATCCGAGGAAGACCAAAGGGAAGTCTCATAAGTTGTCTTCTCCATGGGAAGGCCCATATGACATAGTGGATCGTCTCTCGGACGTGACTTTCCAGGTAAAATGTGGTCGGCGAAGTAAACCAAAGGTGGTGTCTGCCAACAGGGTTTGGCATTATCACAGCCCAGGACATTTCAGCTGAAATGAAGTGAACAACGAAACATAATGACGCTGCTGAAGACGTGTCACCTGGAAACGCTACTGTTGAAGAAGCAACTCTACTCGGTTTTGAGAAGGGAAATAGTGAAGCCCTTCATGAAGTTACTACCACTGATGTGACTGCTACCGATAATGGGACATTTCCTGATGAAGCAGATGAACCCCACGTGAAGCAGAAGCCAACAAGACGGAGACCAGTACGAAAGAAGATACGTCCTGTAAAATTAAGAGACTTTGTTGTATTTTAATTCTGTGTTTTAAATTCTGTACATTTAATCAAGTTATTGTTAATTATTTATTGGTTTAATTTAAGTGGCTATTGTTCGGGACGAACAATACTAAGGAAGGGGCAGTGTTACGACAGCGGAAGTCACGTGACGCTGGTAACACGTAATGAGTATCTAAAAGGTTCCTGAAGGCTCGAGTGTTTGCCAGACGTGTTCAATTTTGTGTATATAACACCGGCAAGAAGTAACGACATTGATAATTGCAGGCAGGCAGAGACAGAGATGGACAATTGAGTCAAGTGCGGTAGTGACCGTAAGTAAAGTGCGTGAATCGTTGTGAATTATAGCTTGTGTTTAAGGTAAAGTGTTTGTAGAAATTAAGTGTATTGCAAAGTTGTATTGAGAAAGAATAAGCTAGTTTTATTTAAGAAAGGTCTTGTATCGATAAAGTTTCTTCTGAAAGAAATTATACGGAAAATTAACAAACGACCAAAGATGTAACAGCGGGGTTTCTACTTACCTGGGGTCCTTCTGTGAGCGTAATCCTACATATATCACCTTCCCTTTGTCTCCAAGCTTTCCCACTTCTTTTTGGAACAACAAAATCGTCAATCTTATTTTTCAAAGCATTTGACCTCAATTTCTGATACACAAGTCGCTCCCCTTTTCCCTGGACGAAGGTGTTGTAACAAATATGAAGACTTCTCTTCTCGAATGTCCTCTGTGTCATTTCTGATAATCAAGTTTGCTCTAAGGAAGAAAACAGATAATAACAGCGACAACCTCATATCTCTAAACAAAATGTGTCCAAATACTGTGTACAAAAGGAAACAGTTGTGATTAAATTACATTTAGTTTCATTCATGAAATGTGGGTATCATCATAGAATAAAATATTGGGTACAATAATTATATTGTTGTGACAGCGGAAGTCACGTGACGTGGTAACACGTAATGAGTATCTAGAAGGATCGGGAAACATCACGAATAATCCAGTATTTGCAAGACGCCCTCTATTCCTGTATATAAGCAAGCAAGTAAAGCGAGATAATTAATTGAATTGCAGACAGGCAAAGATAGAGACGGACAATTGACTCAAGTGCGGTAGTGACTGTGAGTAAAGTACGTGAATCGTTGTGAATTATAGCGTGTGTTTAAGTTAAAGGGACTGTGGAAATTAAATGTATTGCAAAGTTGTATTGAGAAAGAATAAACTAGTTTTATTTAAGAAAGGACTTGTATCGATGAAGTTTTTCAGAAAGAAATTCTATGGAAAGGTAACCAACGACCAGAGACGTAACAAACTGGTGTCAGAGAGTGGGACAAAAACAAAACGGAAACGAGAAGCGACAAATCAAACTACAGCTTAGCAGATTTGATGGCAGCAACACAAGAGCAGCAAAAGCAACAAGAAGATTAAGAAAAGAAACAAGAAGAGAGATTACAGCAGTGGTTGGAGGAGAAAGAAAATAACAAGAAGAGAGAATACAGCAGTGACAACTAGAACAAGAAAGGAAACAAGAAGTACAAATGGAAAAGCTTAGTAAATTTAGAGGTCAGTTAAATGTTCTGGGAGAGACTGTCCTTTCTTTATGGTCGCATTTCTTGCCTTAACATTGACTGGCTCTACCTCCTGGTACACACCCAACAATGCCTTTTCTTTAAGTGTCTGCTCACATTTAGAGAAATTGGCCACTGTTATGGGTACTACTTGATGACCTGCCACTTTAATATTTATACCTGGTTCACCATCATCATCTCCTTCAGTCACTTTGACTTCAGCTCGATGGCACCTAATTAGTTCAACCTCTCTTTTAACAGTTACCGGAATTTGGCCTTTGTTGTTCCCAAACGTCATTTTATCAAAATCAATTACAAACTTCCTCGGTAGTAAGTAGTCCAACCCTAATATGCATTGGTC